GCAAGCCTATGTGGTGACTGTTTTTGGCATGTGCATTTCTTATAGCTTATATTTCACAACTCTGCCACTCCCTGTGTGTTCACTCTTTCCCTGTACTGTGTAATCTTTGCCTCTGCTCAGCTATCCAAACATGCCAGTAGTCTCTACCCATTTGTCAACTTCTCACGTAAACATCTCCTTCAACACAATTCCTTGCACATGTACTCTGTGCACAACTCCTTCAACACAATTCCATGCACTCTCCCTCAATTTATCTGTGAGGTCACTTTTGTCTCCTCCTTCAAATCCCTCAAGAGCAACCTCTGCTGTTCTGCTTAAAATAACACAGTCCAGCTGATAATGGGTATGTTGAGAAGTTCTTGAGTATAATCAAGACACATAATGTAAATAGGTATGTAATAGATATCTAATGTCTATAAATATTACATTTTAAAAAAACTATTAAAAGAATATTAAAGTTGCCAAATCAAGCACTCAAAAAGTTAGGAAATGCAAGAATTAAGGTTGCTTGTACAACTATAATTCAGCTCCCTTGTGCACTATGATATGTTTAATTATATGAACTTATGCTATTTTTTGTATAGAACCCCTGCCTTAGTTGGTGCACAGGATGGATGCCAGTGTGTTGTAAGGATATGTAAGGAACAAATTTTATCAAAATTCATCAAAACATTTTGCATTTACTGAATTACTAAACAAAGGAAGTATTATCTGCAGTTAGTGAAAAGAACTAATTGGTCCTGACCACCATCCCGTTCAAGATTTTAAAACTAGTAGATCTCATCTTCTCACACTTCATTTTTATTCATAGAATGGAAGAGGAAAAAACTTCCCTGCTTTTTCAGCTCAGTTGGTTTCTTGACTTTGAACAAACTAATCATCGAACTGAACGTTGAATAAATTGAAATGAAGAAAATATTCTCTCTGCAGCTGCAGAAGAGGCTACTGCTGTTAAAAGCTGTTTTAACTTCAGTCAACCCTGATTTCAGGTGTTTGGTTAATGACTTCCACCAGTGCAGTGACTATCTTTAAAATTTGGCAGCAAGTTTTTTAAAATTAATTTCAATTTAAAAAAACATATTTTAAACATTTTAATAGATTATTGTAAATCTTAATATTGTCATAATTTCAAGTTTATTTTTAAAGAGATTTGTTTAAAAAAATCAAATTAAATTATTTTTATTTTTTTAAAGTCACCTATTTTTATTCAGCCAACTAATTGTATATTCCTCATTTTCAGGGTGCCCATTTTAAGATGCAGCAGTCTCATTTGCAGAACTGCTAAGCACTAACAGCTGCAACTGAAGTTAGTGGGCACTGTGTTATATAATGACTATCACCTGATTCTTCAGAGTCCTTAACATCACCATTTGGCGACCCAAAATTAGTGGACTCTTTTTTACCTTAATCTCTGAGCCTCAGTTCCCCATCTGTAAAATGGGCATAACAATAGACCCCCATTGGAGTGCTGTGAAAATTAATCAGTTAATGTTTAGTGAAGCATTTAAATGAGTACCATAACAAAGCCCATGAGAAAATTAATAATTATGTATTTAGAGCAGGGTTTTAATAGTGTGCAGTTAATAAGACATGGGGCCACACATAAACAGTGAGGATAAAACAAAATGTTGTGCAGCTGCTCATTTAGTGAGCACCATCTATTTTCTGCACTGAATGAGGCAGGGGGGTTCTGTTTTTAAAAAAAACAAATAAAAGTATGTGATCCTGTAGTTAAAGACAGAATCATAAAACGTATACATAAGGATCCTGAATGAAAGTTGCACAAGCAACATTAATTCTGGACTTCTTATTTTGAGTGCTTGACTTTGCAAACTTAATGTGCTTTTAGTGTGCGTGCATGTGTGTTTTAAAATGCTGTGGCTATATGTCTGTTTTGTCTTGGAGCCTTGGGGTGCGGGACAAAGTAAATAGACAACAAATGAGACATGCTGATGCTTTGTGCGGTAGAGAATGTTCCTTGCTATGTGTGTTTACAGCATGGAACGTAATGGGGCTTTCTGCCTGATTGGAGTCTACCACAATACATATAATATTTTGTCCAATCTCTAAATAGGATTTTTAGCTAGGTGACTGTACTTAACCTGTAGTACTTTTAAAATTTTGTAAGCCTCAGATGTACCCCAACTTTTCTGGTATTTCATGTGTATAAATAATTTTTTTTTGTTCTTCCAGTATGTCTCTCTGTATAGCTCATTGTATGTGCACATGAGCCTCATATGCACCAGTTTGGATTTTTTTAAATAGGAATGTCTGTTGAGGTTGTGCACATGACCTGTACCACCTTGTGCTCTTGTAAAAGGGCGAAATGGCTGCAACCTTCCCTCTGTTCCCTCTTACTGCTTGTGGCAGTAAAGTGGAACCTGGCAAGTATCTTACTGCTACTTTCTCTGTGTTTCAAGCTCACTTTCTGTGCTATTTTGGTGAAGAAACTCTCTTCACGGTCCTTATCCCTTATGTTCTTTAATTTCTTTATTTTTCTTTTTTGAATGCCCAAATTAAACACAGATTACCACCCCCATCCCCGTACATCTCTTTATACTGTGAGATGAAGTGCCCCACACCAACTACCATGGTGAACTCTAAACCCTCAGGGTTTAAACTCTCTCTCATCTCTAATGGATTCATTCCCCTGGTCAGTGGGCATAACTAGTTCCTATTGTGTCTGGGGAAGACCCACATCCCTGATCAGTGTTTGGTATTGAAATCCTTCTTGTTGAGGATTTGCAAGTCAAGGCACTTACAGATGAAACTATACCCATTCGAGCATTCAATGCATGTCATCTCAGACCCAAAGGAGATAACCACCTACAAAGAATCGAAAGGGTCGTCCTCAGCGAGTACCCCTGGGAGCAGACACTGCACCCTGGCAGTGACAGGACAGGGGAAAATAACACCATAGAAATTGACCCTAAACATCTTACAATGGGGGCCTTTGGCACCGGCCACTGCTACCCTAGCTTCATCAACCCCTTCAGAGGAGATCTGAATCTAGGATCATTATCAGATGCCTCAGTCCTGCAGTGAAACAGAAGTTTACTGTCTGCTTTTCCTTTGATTTCCCCTGATTGCAGGGCAGCCTCCAAAACAGAGAGCCAAACCTCTCTCACCATGATCATTCTCATAGTTTCATACTGGCCAAGTTAGTTTTGGTTGACAAACCCAATGCAGATATCAGTTCAGCCTCTGATCCAGCTTCCGGTTCAACTGGACCTGATCTTGCCCAAAGCCACACTTGGCGACAGGAGAAACAAAATTGTTCACACTAGCTGTTCCAAGGATATTCCTTTTGTTATACTGACAGGACCAAACCATTATACTGACAGGACCAAACCATTCACACTGCTGCACCAGTTGTTGATAGATATAGCTGGACATTCTAAACGTCAAGCCATCACTTCACAGAGAATATTGAAGTGGATAACACAATGCATCTTACTGTGTTACTAGCTGACTAGAGTACCTCTCCCACTGAACATCAAGGTTTACTCCACAAGAGCAAAAGTAACATCCTCTGACTGCTTCAGGAATCTGCTGATAGCTGCAACTTGTAAGATCATAATGTGGACTAACCCACTAATTTTTGTCAAGCACTGTGGCTTGGGACATAGTGGCTGTTTTGGGAGAGCAGTACTTGAATCACTGCTCAACTGATGTAGCTGAAACGTCTCATCCCCGCCATTCTGACATACTGCTTGCCATTCACCTACAGAGACATACTCTAAGAAGAGAGTGCTTGCTTACCCTATAGAAACTGGTTCTTCATGGCATCAGTGTGAATCCCATGACCTCCCCGCCAACCTCACTTTTCATAGTCCTTAGGGTGACCAGATCAGCGCTATAAAATATCGGGACGCAAGGGTGTGGGGGGAGCAAAAAAAAAAAAAAGTTTCAAGGGGGCCGGGGGCATTAGCAGGCCCCCGCCACACGCGCTGCCCTCCTCGCGGAGCCTCCTGCCCCTTGGCCCACCACGGGCATATGCG